AATATTGATAATGTGTTTTTCCCATGTAATTCTTTTCCCTTTCCACTTGTGGGTCTGGGGTTGTTCTGGTTTTGTTTTGGATACACCAAGTCCTTCTTTTTAGGTATAGTATAAATATTTTAAGCTCAGATTTTCTTGCAATTACTTTAGAATAACAGATCTCCTTTCCTACACAAATGCTTGTGCACACATGTGGCTCCTTTAATACATACCATAAGAGTATGTAAATTATATAAATATGTGCTGTAATATCCCTTAAATATACTATAATATTAACTACACAAACAACCCATATGTAAGCTACACTGCAGTTTTCTCAGTTTTCAGAGAGCAAACTATGCTGAGATACCACTGCAAGATCTACCAGTAACAATTAGGGTAAAAATTCCTGAACGATGTGATAATCCAGCCAAACAGGCTAACAAGAACACAAAGCTAATTTGTAACTGAATAACTTTATACTGAACCTCATCTCCTTTTTTAGCTGTCTGGCTTGGCATGTAACAATGCTGTTTTCTGCATTGCACTTGCAAAAGTAATCCTCTAGTCATTTTGCTCAACCAGATAGTCTGAATTTCTTGGATACAGATTAGGCTTTCACTGAAAACCACTCCAGAAAATTAGTTTTGCCATAAAAAGATTTTTTTTTTTTTTCTTAAGAAACTGTAGCAAGAGCAGGCTAAAACTTGACTATGGAAAATGCCTGGTGAGGAAATACATTCCTGTATTCCAAAGCCTTCTACAATTTCACTCACTGTTCTGGAATCTCACCTCACAACTTACTCCATGAGGCCTCGCGAAGCCTGTAATGTGAACAAAAGAAGAATTAAATGTCCTCAGAAATTCCTGTAGTCAGTAAAATTCATATTGTGGATGAATTGAAAACAAATTAACCTGGCAATACAGCAAACTGTTACATTAAAACTTGATGCCACGATGGTGAAACGAGAACAAATGTAAAATGAAGGGGAGTCTGCTGCCATTTTTACAAACTTGATTCTGTAAACAAAATTTGCTACTCACAGACGCCCAAATATTGACAAATCTATATTGAGGATTATTCACAAGGAAGAGTTGTTTTGGTTTTTCCCTTCCCTCACCCCCTCTCCTCCCCCTTGCCTGCTTCCTCCAGGGGATCAGTGTCCTGCTTGGTTCGTACCTGACTGAATTTCTGCTTTATGTGACTGTCCAGTAAAAACCGTCGCCCACGTTCCAGAAAGGACAACACCAAAGCTTGACCAACAGCTCTCATGATAATCAAATTCTCTTGGCCAGTACAAGGAATAGCTGAAAGGAAAATATGTTTTTTTTAATTACATACATAGAAAATATAGCAGCGAAGAAGACATTTAGGAGGAAACTCTGACGTTTCTTTTTCTTGTACGTAGCTGAGAGATGCTTGGGGAAGGAGTGATCTCAATGTGCTCCTTTGGGATCTTGACCATTCTTTAAAAACATCAAGTTCAGCCTCTCTAACTTGTTTTAAATCGATTTTATTTTAATTAGTGTTCACCTCTGAAAAGGAGGCCAATTTATTCATCGGACGACACCTTCTGAACAACAGATTTGATTTCGAAGTATTCACAGCAGATAACCTGGAAAGAGAATGCTATGAAGAGCTGTGCAACTATGAAGAAGCAAGAGAAATTTTTGAAGACCATGACAAAACGGTAGCGGTTCAAACTGAGTTTAATATACTGAATTTAATATCATTATTTATAGATTATATTATGCCTGCAAACAAATAGAAATGAAGCTTCAGAAGTCCCACTTGTAGATATTCCAATATATTTACAGACTCTTTTATTTATTTATTTTTTTTTAAGTAACTTCTCAGCATTATTATTATTAATTGGCAGATACCATCCTCGTGTTTTGGAAGAGACCAGAGTTCAGCTATTGCTGAGTGTTCCTAAAGCATTACCTTCTGAATCTCTACCTATATAGGTAGAAACCTGCTATAAAAAATGAGAAAAAATATAAGAAACCCTTCAGCCCAGTAAGGGAATCATGAGGGAGTCTTGCTGGGTAGCAAAGGTGGAAATTATGGCTGAACACATTTAATGCCTGATGGTCATGCAACATGAAAGTTTTTCTCTTGAATAAATCTCATTATTTTGCTCAGCTCGTGTGAATTCAAATACCATTCATGCAAATGTAGGATTCTTAACAACTTTGCCTCATAAATGCTCTTTTGTAGGGATTTACAAAGACTAACTGTAAGCATTTTTTTAGTGTCAGAATATATGGTCACTTCTACTGTCATCAGGCAGAAATATGATGTAACACTGGACAGTTTAATGCACTTTTCTCTTTCACCAAGTGACAATTTTTTTGCTTTGTGAAATTTCAGTGCAAACTTGAAAGTATAAGAAAAATGTTGTGGGACGGGCAAGTACAAATCCTTCAGCAGGAGCTGCGTCTGTTTAGGCCATTGTTAAATTTTGCCCAACGTACCATATTAAAGACAATAAAGTCAATAGGCCTGTCAGCTATAAATATGATTATTTTTGGGTTTTTTTTACAGATGGATTTTTGGAAAGACTATTCAACTAAAGGCCCTAAAATAAAAATAGGTAAGTTATCTTATTTTTTTCTTATATTGCTGCACTTTCTGTTTGTTATAACAGTACACTCAATACACTGTGCATTCAGTTAGCAACATCAGAAAATTGATTTTTTTACTGAAGATCACTGTGAATCATACAAGTATATGTCATTATCTGATGCCATAAAACATACTCACTGAAGCATCTTAGAATGAGATCCATTATAACTCTGTAGGTAAAAACAGTATAATTTCCACAGCCATTTCTTTATTGCACAATTGGTAAACTTTGTGATAATTCTGGGACTGCTTTCTGTGGTTTTATTTTGTTTGCTCTCCCTCTCATTTCTTTAACAGTAATATAACAGTCTGAATTAGGCTCAGAGTAGCCTGATGCCAGATGTTTAATGAAAAACTGGTATCTACAGCCTGATCAAGGTCAAAAGCACATGAAGTAATAGTTGGAAAGCATTGGAAGATGGACATCTCAAACAGCATTTCGCAGTGTAAACTGGGTAGATGGAAAGAATACGTAATGAAAATAAACAATGTTTTCTCCTCAGGAGATGAGACACTACAAAAGATCAATGTCACAGGACTTCTCATCAGTCTCGTTGCTGCTGGAGTACTGTTGGTTATAATTGCACTGATTGTCTTCTACTGCTGCAAAAGTAGATGCAAATCAAGGCAACCACCAGGGTAAGGAATTTTACTGCTTTTAAAAAAATAACAAACACACAAACAAAAAAAAAAAAAAAAAAAAAAAAAAAAAAAAAAAAAAAAAAAAAAAAAAAAAAAAAAAAAAAAAAAAAAAAAAAAAAAAAAAAAAAAAAAAAAAAAAAAAAAAAAAAAAAAAAAAAAAAAAAAAAAAAAAAAAAAAAAAAAAAAAAAAAAAAAAAAAAA